ACAGGTGCACACCACCATGCTCAGCTAATTTTTGTATTTTTAGTAGAGACGGGGTTTCACCATGTTAGCCTGGACGGCCGTGATCTTTTTTCTTTTTTTTTTTTTTGAGATAAGAGTCTCACTCCGTCACCCAGGCTAAAAGTACAATGGCATGGTCTCAGCTCACTGCCACCTCGGCCTCCCAGGTTCAAGCGATTTTACTGCCTCAGCCTCCCAAGTAGCTGGGACTACAGGCCCATGCCACCACACCCAGCTAATTTTTGTATTTTTAGTAGAGACGGAGTTTCACTATGTTGGCCAGGCTGGTCTTGAACTCCTGACCTTGTGATCCGCCCACCTCGGCCTCCCAAAGTGCTGGGAATACAGGTGAGCCACCGTGCCTGGCCTGGTCTCGATCTCTTGACCTCGAGATTCGCCTACCTCTGCCTCCCAAAGTGCTGGGATTATAGGTGTGAGCCACCATGCCCCGCCGCCTTTGTCTATTACTTTAACCCCATCTATTGCTACTCCTTCATGCACAATACTTCAGTCACACTGGTCTTTTGGTAATTCCATTGTCAAACCAAACTTTTTCCTGTTTTGGGGTTTTTGTACCTGGCTTTCTCTTCACCTGGGCCAGTCTTTCCCCAGAACTCTTTGCATGGCTGTTTACTTTTTATCCTCCATGTGTCTGTTGAATGTATATATAGCACATCAAAGAAACCTTTCCTTGACCATTCTCAAGTAGCTTATTTACTGTTTTCATAAGCACTTTCCACAAGCTGTAATTATTTTATTGCTTGGTATGTTTATTGACATGTTCAAATTTAATAACACGTTACAGTTTCATTTGAACAGTGTATTACTGTATTAAAGTATAGCATCATACCTAAAAGAATAGGCTCTAGATTCAGACCGGCTGAATTTGAATCCTAGCTCCACCACTTACGTGAACCTGGCCAAGTAGTTTAATCTCCCTAGGAATCTCCCTAGGCCTCGATTATTCCCATCTGCCAAAAAGAAATATTAAATGATACTCATATCATAGTATTGTAATAGAGATTGAGTTAAGGCATCAAAAGTGGTTAAAACAAAGAATGCCACATAATTCTTCAGGAAATGTACATAACTGTTATTATTTATCACCGGTTTCTAGTGCCCAATACGGTGCCTGGAATTCAAGGAATAGATGCGAGGAACTCTGTAAAGTGTATGCTTGCTATACAAGTGTGTCAGGTATTATTGATCCAGCTCTGCAAGGCAATCCATTAATTGTACGTAGTTTGGGAATAATCCTTGGGAAAAAAAATAAATAACTGTACATAGGATTTTTTAAAAAAATTTATATAAAAAAATGAGACAGAGTCTTGCAATGTTGCCCAGGCTGGGCTCAAATGCCTAGGCTCAAGTGATCCTCCCTGCTCAGCCTTCCAAAGGGCTAGAATTACAGACATGAGTCACTTCACCCAGCCATAAAAACTATTCATAGGTTTTATTACATATATATTTTTAATGATATACACATATATTTTTATTTTATGTATTTTATTTATTTATTTATTATTTATTTTTGAGACACAGTCTCACTCTGTCGCCCAGGCTGGAGTGCAGTGGCGCGATCTTGGCTCACTGCAACCTCTGCCTCCTGGGTTCAAGCAATTCTCCTACCTCAGCCTCCCAAGTAGCTGGGACTACAGGTGCCTGCCACCACACCCGGCTAATTTTTGTATTTTTAGAAGAGATGGGGTTTTACCATGTTAGCCAGGATGGTCTTGATCTCCTGACCGCGTGACCCGCCCACCTCAGCCTCCCAAAGTGCTGGGATTACAGGCGTGAGCCACCACGCCCGGCCAGGTTTTATTATATATTTGCCACTCAAGCTGGCAAATCAGCAATAAGACATTTCTGCGAAACAAACCAAATGACTTTATTTCTAAATTGTTTATTTCTTGGACTATTTGTGCTTCATTTCTCCCTGCTAGAACATAAAGTCTTCAAAAACAGGGACTAACCCTTCTTTCTACCCACCAGTAAACATCACTGAGTACCACTCTGACACCATACCAAGTGCTCCCTGCCCTTGAAAGAACCAGATGTTGGGAGGTGAGGACATTGATAAACAGGCAGTTATAAAGTATGGCACATACTCTATTAGAGAAATACCTGGTGTTATATGCTGATTTGGGAATCCAAATCAGATTGCAAGTACAGCTAACAAGCCTACCAAGGGAAGTCCTCCATAATGCTGACACAAGGTCTGGCACACAATTGGTGCTGAGTAAATGGATGGTCAGTACCATAGTGAAGAATGGAATGAGAACAGGAGTACTGGCTCATGCCTGTAATCCCTGCATTTTGGGAAGCCAAGGTGGGCAGATCACTTGAGGTCAGGTATTCAAGACCAGCCTGGACAACAGGGCAAAACCCAGCTCTACTAAATATACAAAAATTAGCTGGGCGTGGTGGCGGGTGCTTGTAATCCCAGCTACCTGGGAGGTTGAAGCAGGAGAATCGCTAGAACCCAGGAGGTGGAGGTTGCAGTGAGCTGAGATCACACCACTGCACTCGAGCCTGGGCAACAGTGTGAGGCTCTGTCTCAAAAAAAAAGAAAAGAAAAGAAAGAAAAATACAAAACTTAGCTGGGCATGGTAGCACATGGCTGCAATCCCAGTTACTTGGAAAGATGACTCAGGAGAATCGCTTGAACCCAGAAGTGGAGATTGCAGTGAGCTGAGGTCGCACCACTGCACTCCAGCTTGAGCAACAGAGTTAAGACTCTGTCGTTAAAAAAAAAAAAAAGAGAACGTAATGAGATATTATTAAACATATCCAGTAACTTCTCCACCTTCTACAGGTAATCATTGAAGACTAGGAGCTATACCTCACTTATCAATCCGGAAACCAGATCACTGTCCCATTCTACAGACCAGAGAGCTATACCCACTGAGAGGTGGAAGACAGGAACAATAAAGATCAAAAAAGAAATAAAATGTCAATCTTCAAGTGGAAGATAACCTGGCAAGATGCACTTTGGGTAATCTATCTGAAATAAATCAGATATAAACACAGTCATTATTTTAAATATTCTTCCATTCTGACTTATGTTTAGCATTTGTGCTTCAATATGTAAACAATTAAAAGAAAGAAATTGCCAAAACAGGGATAAAATTTATTTTTAATATCGTCTGTATTTTATAACATATAGAATGCAAATTTTTATTTAAAAGAATATTTGCAATGCCCTTTTACTGATAACGTAACTGAGGTATCTCTTTTTTTTTTGAGATGGAGTCTTGCTCTGTCGCCCAGGCTGGAATGCAGTGGCACGATCTCGGCTCACTGCAACCTCCACCTCCCAGGTTCAAGCAATTCTCCTGTCTCAGCCTCCTGAGTAGCTGGGATTACAGGCACCTGCCACCATGCCTGGCTAATTTTTGTATTTTTAGTAGAGATGGGTTTTCACCGTGTTAGCCAGGATGGTCTCGATCTCCTGACCTCGTGATCTACCCACCTCGGCCTCCCAAAGTGCTGAGATTACAGGTGTGAGCCACTGTGCCCAGCCTGATACTTATTTTATATACTTAAATCTTAAGATTTAATAACAATAATTAGCTACAGTGTGGTCTACAAATGAAAATATACAAATGGTTTTAAGAACACATGTATTCCTTTTCTTTTTCTTTTTTTTTTTTTTTTAATACAGTCTCACTCTGCCGCCCAGGTTGGAGTGCAATGGCGCAGTCTCGGCTCACTGCAACCTGTGCCTCCTGGGTTCAAGCAGTTCTCCCTGCCTCAGCCTCCCAAGTAGCTGGGATTACAGGCACCTGCCACCATGCCTGGCTAATTTTTGTATTTTTAGTAGAGACGGGGTTTCTCCACGTTGGCCAGTTTCGTCTCCAACTCCTGACCTCAGGTGATCCACTCACCTTAGCCTCCCAAAATGCTGGAATTACAGGAGTGCGCCACCACATCTGGCCAAGAACACATGTATTTCTATCTACTGGTACACTTATAAATCATACAAAGATACATACTTATTTTTAAAATAAAGATTTTCAAAATGAAACCAGCTCATCAAATTTTTACCCAGGTATCACAAGAAACCTTTTATGTAAAGAAATAAAAATTGAAGCAAAAATAACACTTTCAACTTAGTTTTCCTTCTTTTGTTTGAAAGAAACGGGGTCTCACTATGTTGCCCAGGCTGGTCTCAAACTCCTGAGGTCAAGATATCTTCCTGCCTCAGCCTCCCAAAGTGCTAGGGTTACAGGCAAGAGCCACCATGCCCGGCCTCAACTTAGTTTTCTAATGTCTTTTATTTATTTTTTGAGACTGAGTCTCACTCTGTCACCCAGGCTGGAGTGCAGTGGTATAACCTCAGCTCACTGCAACCTCCGCTTCCCGGGCTCAAGCAATTCTCATGTCTCAGCCTCGTGAGTAGCTGGGACTACAGGCACGAGCCACCACACTGGCTAATTTTTGTATTTTTAGTAGAGGTGGAGTTTCACTATGTTGATCTTAAACTCCTGATTTCAGGTGATCCACCCAACTCGGCCTCCCAAAGTGCTGGGAATAAAGGTGTGAGCCACCACGCCTAGACTTCTAATGTCTTTAAAGTCATATCAAAGGGCCGGGCGCCATGGCTCATGCCAGTAATCCCAGCACTTTGGGAGACCAAAGTGGGCAGATCATGATGTCAGGAGATCGAGGTCATCCTGGCTAACACAGTGAAATCCCGTCCTACTAAAAACACAAAAATTAGCCTGGCGTGGTGGTGGGCACCTGTAGTCCCAGCTACTTGGGAGACTGAGGCAGGAGAATCACTTGAACCCGGGAAGCAGAGGTTGCAGTGAGCCAAGATCACACCACTGCACTCCAGCCTGGGCAATAAAGCAAGACTCTGTCTCAAAAAAAAAAAAGTCACATCAATTCTACAAATTACTGTTTCTGAAGACAGAACTTTAAATATTTCCTTCCCATTTCTGACATGCTTATTTATAATAAATCATAAAAGCACTCTAAAGAGAATAAATGGAATTCTTACATTTTAAAACATTTTCTTAATATAAAGGATAACAATTCAAATCATATTTTACATTTCTACGTCTTCATATTGCACTAAAATTATTTTACATGGAAGAACTAGTTGATGCATCATAATACCTTAGAAACATTTTTTGATATTCACATCTACATTAATAAATATTTAACAGTCTACTTAAATAAATATTCTAGTATAGAGTGAATCATCTAACAAAAACAAATCTACAGTGCTACTTTGTTTTTGAGAGCAAAGATATTCAGTATTTTTATTTCTGCCTCTGGGAAACACACTGACATTTTCAAACACATGTAAGTCACTCATAGTACCTAGTAATAACAATTGAGCAAGACTTAGTCGTTCATTCATTTATTAAACGGGGTCTCACGATGTTGCACAGGCTGGCATGGAATTCCAGGGCTCAAGTGATCCTCTCACCTCAGCTTCCAGAGTAGCTGGGACCACATGCCCATCCTACCATGCCCAGCTTCTTCATTTATTTTTGTGTCTCTACATGGCTACTTTTTAAATACAACATTAGTTTTATTTAAAAAATGAAGGAAAGAAGTGTTTTTCCTATTATCCAGTGGAGCATAATTGTGAGAAGAGAGATAACAAAAATAAAATGTCAATGCTGGCTGTTTTATAGAACTTAAAAATTCAGTTCTCATTATTCTACTGCAATATAACCAACCCTGCTTATTTTAATAATAATAAACACTGTCAGTCTTTTAAAAACCATGATAACAATTAAAAACTTTGAACAGCATGACAAAGCTAATGGCAACCTCTTGAACCCCGTTTTAAAGCTAGTTCTACTTCCAAATAAAACTTTAAAGCGGTTTAGCCAGCATCAGCTTAGGAATATTTTTTTCAATGTTCTAAGGTATAATGTTTGGCATCAAAAAGTATGGTAAGCACTTCTGATTTGTGACTAAAGAAAAAATAATCAAGTACTAAAATACCAGTGGCTCCTGTGACAGTGTAAATATCCCCATTCAAGTAATGTTCCCCCAACAATTAAAGTAACGTTTCATTTCTCCCTCTGAGAATGTATTAAGGAAAACCAATCATAATTTTTTTTTTTTAGTTGAGGTGAAAAACCTGCTTCATAAGTTCATATGTTGTAAAAGCAACTGCTTGAGAGGGAATACAGCGAATGTAATTAAGAGATAAACCACGATAGAGTCCTTTTCGAATTCCATGGTGTCCATAGACATACTTCATAGTATCCCGCATGGTACTGAAAGACAATGATTAAATGATGACACCTCTATGCCCATTCATGAAGAAACAATTTCAGGATCCATAATATCAATTTTTTTTTTTTTTTGAATGGACTCTTGCCTTTAGTCACCAGGTAGGAATGTGATTGCCAGTGGTTACGATCTTTCAGCTAAAAACTGCAGGGTCTCCCCCCCCCCTCCTTTTTTTTTTTCTCTCCCTCCCTTTTTTTCCCCTTCCTTTTGTTACCCCTTTTTTTTTGTCCCCCCCCTTTTCCCCCCCTTCCCTCCCTTCCTTTTTTTCCTATGCCTTCCCAGGTTCAAGTGGATTTCTCCTGCCCCTCAGCCTCCGGAGTAGCTGGGATTACAGGCGCATGCCACCATGCCCCAGCTAATTTTTGTAATTTTAGTAGAGATGGGGTTTCTCCATGTTGCCCAGGGCAGTTCTCGAACTCCTGGACCTCAGGTATCCACCCACCTCGGCCTCCAAAGTGCTGGGATTACAGACGTGAGCCACCGGCGCCAGGCCATAATATCAACAAAAATTTTTTAAAAGCGTTAAATGCCATCTTGAATAGCTTTAGTGAAGACCAAATGTTATAACAAGCGAAACTTTTTTCATAATAAAAAGGCCCAAATCATTCCAAACAAGTACAAGCATTATGCCATTCAAATTTTCAGGACTCATTAGTACAAACATATTTTGTTTGTCACTATGTCTATTGCCATTTTATTGGACAACATATTTTCATACTTATATTTGAGAATATTAATGCAATCCTTTTAAAAGGATGTATGTCCAGTTGCCCCTTTAAAGCCTTTATTATAGCTGAAGTTGCACAGTACCAACAGCAGGTGGTTATAGAACTAAAGCCTTGAAGGACTTATCTTTCAGATTTCAGCCAAGAAGACTTTCCTGTTTCAGAGTTGTTCCTTTTCCTTTCAAACCAACAATTTGGGCTTGGCCTCCCCCTTTCAAACAGGCAATCTGGACTGAGAATCTTTTCAAAAATCTTTTTTTTTAAGACTAAGTCTGGCTCTGTTCGCCCAGGCTGGAGTGCAGTGGCCGGATCTCTGCTCACTGCAAACCTCCGCCTCCCGGGTTTACGCCATTCTCCTGCCTCAGCCTCCCGAGTAGCTGGGACCACAGGCGCCCGCCACCTCTCCCGGCTAGTTTTTTGGTATTTTTTGAGTAGAGACGGGCTTTCACCGGGTTAAACCAGGATGGTCTCGATCTCCTGACCTCGTGATCCGCCCGTCTCGGCCTCCCAAAGTGCTGGGATTACAGGCTTGAGCCACGCGCCCGGCCAGTTTTTGGTTTTTTTTTTTTTAAAGAGACAGGTTCTCACTCTGTTGCCCAGGCTGGAGTGCAGTGGCAATCATTGCTCACGACAGCCTCCAACTCTTGGGCACAAGCAATCCTCCCACCTCAGCCTCTTGAGTAGCTGGGACTATAGACACATACCACCACCATGCCTCGTTAATGTTTTTTTAAGTTAAAAAAAATTTTTTTAGAGACAAGGTCTTACAATGTTTCCCAAGCTGATCTCAAACTCCTGGCCTCAAGTGAACCTCCCACCTCAGCCTCTCAAGTAGCTGAATACTACAAGCACAGGGCAATGCTCATGGCCAAAAAAATCTTTCGGGTAAATAAGGCAATCCAAATTCATGAACAAATGTTCTACTCTTTCCCTGAGAGACAACATATCACCAATCAAATGGAATGATTTTAAATCACTATAAAGAAAACTCTGGAGCTGTGCTATACAATCACAGCAGCCACTAGCCACATATGGCTATTAAGCACTTGAAATGTGGCAGTCCAAATCAAGATGTGCTGTGAGTGTAAAATACATCCTGGATTTCAAATACTTCATATAAAAAGAAAGGAAACAAAACAACGAAATGTTGAGGTGATAACATTTTAGGTTTAACAAAAAATATTTTTCACAATTATTTTTTTTTCTTCTTTTTCTTTTCTTTTTTTTTTTTTTTTTTTTTTTTTTTTTTTTTTGAGACGCAGTCTCGCTGCCAGGCTGGAGTGCAGTGGCACGATCTTGACTCACTGCAACCTCTGCTCCTGGGCTCAAGTGATTCTTGTGCCTCACCCTCCCGAGTAGCTGCGACTATAGGCACGCCCCACCACACCCAGCTAATTTTTTTGTATTTTTAGTAGAGACAGGGTTTCACCATGTTGACCAGGATGGTCTTGATCTCCTGACCTTGTGATCCTCCCTCCTCGGCCTCCCAAAGTGCTGGGATTACAGGTGTGAGCCACCGTGCCTGGCCCTTTTTCTTTTTTAGACAAGAATCTCAAGAATCTCGCTCTGTCACCCCGGCTGGAGTGAAGCGGCATGATCTTGGCTAACTGCAACTTCCGCCTCCCGGGTTGAAGCAATTCCCTGCCTCAGCCTCCTGAGTAGCCGGCGTGACAGATGCCTGCCACCATGCCCAGCTAATTGTTTTTGTATTTTTAGTAGAGACGGGTTTCACCATTCGTGAAGCCTCCCATGCCAGCCCATATAAAAATACTAATATACATGTAAAACCCCTACAAGAAAACAAGGTAGCCAAATTTTTTTTGTTTTTTTGGAGATGGAGTCTCGCTCTGTTGGCCGCAGCAGGCAGGCACGATTCTCCAGCTCACTCAAGCTGCACGGCTCCCGGCTTCACCGCAAGTTCTCCTGCCTCAGCCTTCCCGAGTAGCTGGACAGGCGCCCGCCAACCCTCGCCCGGCTTAGTTTTTGTATTTATAGTAGAGACGGGTTTCCACCGTGTCGCCAGATGGTTCGATCTCACGGACCTTGTGATCCACCACGTCTCGGCCCTCCACAAGTGCGGATGACAGGCTTGAGCCACCGCGCCCGGCTGCCAATTTTTAAAAAATTAAAGTAAAAAGACAATTGCTCGGAGAGGCTGAGCCACGCATTAATTGCTTGAACGCCAGGAGGCGGAGGTTGCAAGTGAGCCGGATGTGTGCCCACGTACTCCGCTACGGGGACAGAGTGACGCTTGCCTCAAAAAAAAACAAAAGAGGCTGGAAGCAGTGCTCACACCTGTAATCCCAGCACCTTTGGGAGCAGAGGGGGGTGGTCCATGAGGTCAGGCGTTCAAGACCAACATGGCCCAAG